CTACAAATATACCCCAGCGACTTAAGACTGGTTTTGTGGTCCAGGGTCACATATTAGGATCATGTGACACTGAAGTCTGGAGTAATGATGCTGAAAATTCAGCTTTGCCTTCACAGGAATAAAGTGCATTTTAAATATATTTAAATTGAAAATAGTTATTTTTAATTAATAATAGTAATATAGTATTATATAATATAGTATAATATAGTAGTAATTAATAGTAAAAATATTCCACAATATTATGATTTTTACTGTATTTTTGATTAAATAAATGCAGCCTTGGTGAACAGGAGAACAAAACGGCGAACCAAACAAGGTTTTCCATTTATACCCTGAAATAATTAGAAACCAGAAAATCAAAAGAATTAAAAGTGTACAGTAGGTGTACTACCTTCAAAGCCTGTAGATGTCTAGACAGCTCAGAGGAACCGGGGGCACAATGGACCCCCGAGCTTTCATCTTCCAGTCGTCCCTCTACATATTCGAGCCAGGAGGTCAAACTGGCCAAGATCTGACTGTGAGACTGGTTTGTCAACAGCTAGAAGGAGGGCAAGAGGATGCTTACTTAAACAATATCTGTTTGCCAGAGCTTTTCTTCAGATGGATGAGGGAGAAGATAGAGGGAGAGAGAAAAACAGAAAGAAACTTAGAGAGAGACATTAGTCGTACTTGTTGCTGTGTCTGGTGGAGAGTGGGCAGGACGTTAGTCAAGTTTGTCCATTCCTGCTCAAGTTGAGCCAGTCGTCTGCGCAGACCTGGAGCTTCACTGTCAGTCAGCTGCAGTATCTGTGCGCCTGAAAGTTCTGCAGAAGCTTTCTGTGCTGAACGGCCCTCCAGCTCCTTAAAGAACTCCTGCAACACACAAACAAAACCACATTCCTATTTTGGCATTTTAGGTATACGTTACATTTGTGTAAAAAAAAAAAAAATCTAATTATACTCACCATGAGCTGGGTAAAGACTGTTCTGGAGTCCAAGAGACCAGAATCAGAGAAACTGTTCCACTTCTGAACCTGTTCTTGAGCATGACGCATCCATTCTTCTAGTTCTGTTGAGTCATGCTGGAACCTACACATTCAAACGCACAAAAGCACACACCTTTATTTGTTACCTATTTATTTGTTCATACCTCACCTCCAACAAAAAGGCATTAAAAATTATTATTTGGTTACTGATTTCTCACACCTGTCATAATTCTTTCTGATCTTCTGTGTAGACTGTATCTTCTGCTGTATTTGATTATGAAGCTCCATCCAGCGTAACAACAGTTGTGATTTTGGGACAGTCTGGCCAGGTCGCTCAGGGTAACAACCCTTTTTCTGTAGGATCCTGGGTCGGTCTTGGACCTCCCACACCTGAGGCCTTGTGTCTTCCAGGACCTTGTGCAATCTCTGACAATGAGAGAAAGTAGAAAAGAAAAGTTTGCAGGTTCAATTTTAACACTTGGGCCTATAAATATTTGTTATATTTGCTCAGTTATTCAAAACGTGTGATTAAGTGGTACACAGATATATGAATATGGTCAGCTGAAGTACTGCAGTCAGAGACAGCAAACTTTGGGAATCGCTGTTTTAACTCATCTCATCATCCCACCTCCTCCTCATCTCTCTCAGCTTCAACTGCTTGCTCAGATGGCGTGGCTTGTGAGGATGGGAGTGAGTTCGATGTACATCTATTACAGACACAAAAAGGGTAATTTGCTGTTCCTCCTATATCAATCCACCGGAGTAATGAGCTTTGGTAAACATAAAGAGAAAAATAATATGAACACAACCAACAGTATGCTACTGACTGTTCCGTGTGAGTCAGTGTAGCTGAAAAAATTAGCTTTCGTAATAGTGAGGGGGAAAAATAATAAGAGAGCGGCCAATGCAGGCTGCAGAACATGAAGTTCCACAGATATGGCAACTATCGCTCTGAGTAATTTCATCAGGAACATCATGTGCTGGACCAAAAAAGATTCTCATGCAACATACAACCAAAGAAAAGAGAAGACCTTCTCCCTTAATTTCGCCCCCCTCTCACACTCCTACATGTCTCAGACACTTATTACTTTTGCTGCTTAGTTGGTTCCCAACCAAATAACTAATATTGGCAGGAGTCCTCTATCGCTAAGGCAATAATGTGCTCAGCAAAAAAAATAAAAATTAAAATGCAGTAAAATCCCACAACTTCTACAGGTATGTGATTTAATAATTCAGACAAGAAATTGGTTAGTTTTTTTTTTTTTAATGTATGTATTCTTTACAACACAACCTGGGGCAGTGTAGCGAAAAAAATAAGTTTCCTAATCTGCAATTGTCTTCTTTTTTCAGTAAAATATATATTTTTTTTAAAGTATATTTTTCAACAAGAATCAATGTACATATTTATTCTTGTTTATTCTTCTTCATTCCCAAATAAATATACAATACAATTTAAAATTTTGGGGTTGGTATGATTTTTTAAAGAAGTGTCTGATGCTCACCAAGTGTCCATTTAGTTGATTAAAAATATTGTAAAAATTGAAACAATTTTACATTGTGAAATAACTGTTTTCTATTTAAATATATTTTAAAATATAATTATTCCTATAATGGCAAAGCTGAATTTTTAACAGCCATTACTCCAGACTTCAGTGTCACACGATCCTTCAAATCGTTGTAATATGCTGATTTGGTGCTTAAGAAACATTTGAAGGGTTGAAAAACAGCTGTGCTTAATAGCTTTGTCAAAAAATTTGATATTTTAAATATTTTACTGTCACTTTTGATCAGTTTAATTTCTTCTTGCCAAATGAAAGTATTAATTTATATCAAGGAAGAATTTGTGAATGCTAGAGTTTATAAAAATATATTGTTCTTTATAATACCTGTTATTTCTTGAGCATAAACCTCACTAAAATATACACTCCTTATGCAATTTTGCTTAATTTGAAACTTAATTTTTAGATATTTAAACTGTGAAACAAGACAAGAACTTAAAGAGTGGAATTTGTTTCTGTCATTCCCATGCAGTGTCACAGAATGTAAAACACAGCTAAAACTATCAAAGGAGGCCTATACTCAAAGGAAGTCAAAGAAAGGCAGCCATTAGCGTTCCATGGGATGCAGGGAAACAAACCTCATAGGACTGCAGGTCTCCCTCTGGCTCTGAATCCAGACTGGACATGTTTGTCTCCATCTTATCCAACTGCTTACGCAGTCTCTCAGTGACCTCCTCGTACCGAGACCACTCCTACAACACACATACAGAGCGATGAGAGAGCTTCTGTTGCTCATTTCTCTTAATACATTTTATACATGGCATTTACTCCTAGAAAATCTTGGTTTATTAAATTAGAACTAAATTCAGACAGATAATGAGAAATTGTTATGCATTGTAAAAGACTGATAACATTAAGGTCTGAATAAGTTAATTTCATTATACCTCTAAGCTGTGCTGCATTTGAACACCACGAGTTTGTGCTTGATCCTGTAGATCTGATATTAACTGCTCCACCTCTGCATGGCCCTGCAGTGCCCCCTCTGGCAGCTTATGGTATATCAGCTTGACCATTACAAGGTCCTGACCCAAATCTTGGAAGTATTTCTGTTAACAGTCAATTCCAAACATTATTAGAGTGTTTTAAGCAGACAAAACACATTATTATTATTTTAATAATAATATAATTACTAAGTTGATCAGCTGTGTACCTTGTGTTCTGTGAGCAGACTGTGGAGCTGACTGCAGTTTTGTGGCTGCGCATTCTTACTGCGCAGCAGCCGCTCAGAGCCCAGCTCCAGGAGACACCGCAGACCCTTCAGAAGAGCTTCAGAACATCTCTGGAGCTCAAGATTATTCCGTCCCGCCAATCTCCGCCGCTCAGGTGCCAAAGTCCATGTGCCGCCTTGCAGACTCTTACAGAGCAAACACTCACATTAGATCAGAACTTGAAGTTACTGACCAGTTCTACCTTAGCAACTGTTGCCATCTTCCCTTTTATCCGACATCTTTACACACTTTTCTAAAAGTATGTAATACCTTGATGCTTGAAAGGTCCTTTATAATATTTACATTTTAAATTTTCAAGTAAATACTACACTGACAATAATAACAAATTTCTCAAGCACCAAATCAGCATAATGGCAAGATTTCTCAAGGATCATGTAACCCTGAAGACTGGAGTAATGAGTGCTGAAAATTCAGCTTTGCCATCATAGGAATAAATTACATTTTAATATTTATTAACAAATATTTTTAAATTGTAATAATATTTCACAATATTAAACAAATGCAGCCTTGGTGAGCATAAGAGACTTATTTCAAAACATTAAAAAAATCCTAACTTTTAAACAGTAGTGTAAATGTTAAAAACTGATGGATCTAGAATTCTTGTTAGATCTTAAGGTGAAGCAGACATGTCAGAGCTTGTTCACCCTCAGGGTAGTTCTTTGGTTTTAGTAAGCATGTTTGCAGGGCTGAAACTGACCTCTAAAGAACTGACATCCTGACATGAGGTGAGAAGCTGGACTAAACTCAGTTGATCTTCACCTCCTCCTTCAGACTGTGACAGATCACTGATAGTTGCTGTGTGCTGAATTGTGTGATCCTGAGACTGGCTGCTGCTCTGGTGAACCATGGCCTCAATAACATCTCTCTGTATTTCCTAGAGAGTTGGAAGGGCAGTATTTAGTCATACAAAAAATACTTGAAATGAAACATGTCAGTTTACACCTAGATTTCACATAGAATTACCAATGTTGTATCGTCCTGTGGCACACATTCTGTATGCTGGGAGGAGAGCATAAGAGGAGCTGTGGCGTCGATGGGTTTAGTCTCTGTCTGGGTCTGATCACCATCAGTATCATTTATTGCCTCTGTGTCTCGTGGCTTTGGGCTTGTTGTTTTCACTTGATCACTTGTACCCGTTTCTGTGTTTACAGATACTTCATTCTGATCTACAGATTCATTGGCATCACTTGCTTTTAACATGGTGGTTTCTGAGCATATTCCTGGCTTTGCTGGAACTGCTTCAGTGCACTCATTTTGCTTTTCCTCATCTATATTTGCACTGTCAGGCTTAAGACAACTATCATTTGTTAATTCTTTCAAATGTTGGGATGTTAGTGCAGGTAGGGAACTTGTCTCTTCATTAACTGGTCTGCTGACTATGCCAGGCATTTCAGAGAACTCAGAAAGCTCCAGTAAACAACTTTCTGTGTCAGCGTCCTGAATTACATACTTGATTGCAGGAAAATCAACTTCTTCAGGAGATGATTCCTAAAGACAAAAACAAGCAGCAAGTCATTAGCAGCTGTGTAGTGATTTTACCATGGTTAAATAAGTATGTATGTATCTAAAACCACTTTAGCCACAGTAAATAACAAAATAATTATGCTGCCAAGTAATATACACTACCGTTCAAAAGGTTGGAGTCAAGGTTTTTTTTTGTTTTTTTTTTTGAAAGAAATTAATACTTTTATTCAGCAAGCGTACATTAAACTGATCAAAAGTGACAGTAGAGACATTTATAATGTAAAAAAATGATTTGTATTTCAAAAAAATGCTGTTCTTTAGAATTTTCTATTAATCAAAGAATCCTGAAAAAAAAGTATTTAAGTTTTTACAAAAATATTAAGCAATATTAAACTAAATATTTAACATTGCTAATAATAAGCAATGTTTCTTGAGCACCAAATCAGCCTATCAGAATGATTTCTGAAGGATCATGTGACACTGAAGACTGCTGAAAATTCAGCTTTTCCATCACAGGAATAAATTACATTTCAAAATATATTCAAATAGAAAACTTCTTTGAAAATTGTAATAATACTTCTGTTTTACAGTATTTTTGATCAAATAAATTGCAGTCTTGGTGAGCATAAGAGGCTACTTTCAAAAACATCAAAAAATCTTACCGATCCCAAACTTTCGAATGAAATTCATTTTTCTAACAGAAGGCTACTTGTGGTTGCCAAGCACCGTAGCAAATTTGAATATTAATACAGAATATAAAGTTAAGTGTGTATTTATTGGCATTTTACACCGTGTTTGAGCAGGGCTCATCCAAACAGTCGGAACTATCTATTTCACAATAAGGAATGTGAGGAACAATGATAATTAATCATATTGCCTGCCATTAAAGAGAAAAAGTCAAATAACTCTGTTGGGGTCAGTCTTTACCTTAGTGACACAATCTCTTACAGCAGAGGCAGTGCCTGACTTAGTATCTTCCTCCTCTATTGTATCATTTGGGTCCTGGCACAGAAAAAGGAAAAATGATTAGAGATGATGAAATGATTAGAAATGACTTGAGATGATGGTCCAGTGTATTAGAAGAATAGACTCCCTAAAGACAAATGAAGAAAGCAGCTGTTACTGAAAGAAGAAATGGAGTTATATTCGGCATTCTGCAATGAGTGCCGCCTTAGTCCTCAGAAAAGAAAAGCAAAATAATTTGTTTGCAAAGCTGACTGAATTCTAAACATAAACAACAGAAATTCCAAGACTAGCAAAAGCATCCACGACCAATTCCTGTGAAATTATAGAGAAAAGACCTAACCATTATCTAAAAAGAAAGAAATAAAATATAAATATACAGTGGGTACGGAAAGTATTCAGACCCCCTTAAATTTTTCACTCTTTGTTATATTGCAGCCATTTGCTAAAATCACATTTAGACGTATAATTAGATTTGTATTAATAGCTGCCTTTCATAAATGTATATAAATAAAAAATTAAACATATGCAAATGAACAGCCATAGCAAAGAGGTCCAGAGTTCAGACAAGAGTTCAGAAATGTTCCCTTTTCAGGGTTTGGCAAAGCCTGGGAGATAAATTGGAGGTTTCGAGGGTTTTACCTCTGGAACACTGCATGTGAGAGTTCCTGAGGACGAAGACTGATTGTCTTCATCTTCCTCCTCCGTGTAAGGGCCTTCCATGGAGACCTGCTTCATCAAGGCATGGCAAGGCAAGTTTATTTATATAGCACATTTCATACACAATGGTAATTCAAAGTGCTTTACATAAAAGAAAAAAAAAAAAATTAAAAAATAAAAAAAGGAATTTAAAAATTTAAAAAAGAATTGCCCCAGAAAAGATTGAAGTTGTCGATGAAATTGACTCCTTTTAAGCTGCAGATTCTTTGTAGCCATGTGTTCAGCCCAAGCAAACGTGAAAACATATTAGTTCCTCTTGCTGGGAGTGGCCCACTGATGAACGACTGAACTTTAAGTCTTCGAAGTGTTTCAAAGAGTTCACTGAAGTCCTTCTTAAGGAGTTCTGACTGTTCTTTCCGAATATCATTCTTCCCCACATGGATGATGATTCGATTTGCAGTCTTGTGCTTCATCAGAATTTTCCAAAGTTCCTTGTTTACATCAGAAACGGTTGCTTGAGGAAAGCAGCATGTTGTTGAATTTCTGCTACTGATGTTTCTAATAATGGAGTCACCCACTATCAGTGTCCTGGACTCGGCTGTGCTCTGAGCTGAAAGCCGCTGTCTGCTCGACCTTGAGCGGGACTTACCGGCTGTATGCTGAGGGGGTCCGTGACGACGGTCTGCTGAGTGTTCTGCCTTTATTAGAAGTCCAGCAAGTAACTTTGTTTCAAGAACCGCAATCCTTTGTAGAAGTTTGCAGCAGTTCATGCAGCAAGTAGATTCAACAGGAGGCATTTTCTTTCTCTTCTGTTTGAATGTGGGCAGCTGTGTTTTCCCTTCTCCGGAATGTAAGCTGCTGGCAGTGAGAGGCAAAGTCTTCTTTTTTGTGGTATTATTCCAGTCCCAAAAAGTTTTTAGTTTTAGTGTTTGTGCCAAAAATGTGTTGTTTGAGCACTGTGCTGATCTGCTGAAGTAAAAATCTTAGAAAAATCCGAGAAAAGTACAGAAATAGGGAGCAAAGCGCAGAGCAGTAAGCAAGAACGTCCGAACGGTAGCGAAGCTGGAAGCAGCACCAGGGTTATGCAACGACATATTATTCTTTACTGTAGGTTTTTATAGTGACAGAACTAATGAGCTGATTTAGTCTTATTTAGTCCTAAAACTGACTCATCCTCATCTTAGATGTCTTCTGAGTTAGAGTAGACATGATTTTGAGGTATATTTTTGATTGAGTTGATGGACCTTACCCTCACATCTCCAGTGTAAAGATGTGGCATCGTGAATTCTGTGGTTTGGTCTGAAGGGAAAATCATTTCAGCAGGCTGTCCAATAGAGGCCTGAAAAGAAAATCAGAAAAATACTTGTTTCATCAAGTTGTAAAACTTGGGCAAACCAAAGTCACTGTTACAAGGTCACATTATAGAGATCATGAGAAAATCCATGAGAGTGTCTTAACTAGATACTACTGCCTTTGACAATAAAGCTGTGCCTGTAATGATTTACTGCCGCACCATATTGAAGTTTTAAAGCGCTTTTTTTTTCTAAGCGCAATCAGAAAATTCAAGCTTCCCACACATCCCTTTTGTGAGTTGGCTTTAAATGCAGGGATTTTCTCCTCCTCTCATTCCCACAGACATGAAAGCGAAGAGGAGAGGTCACACACTGGTCACGGTCACTAAAAACACTACAAATGTACTGCACTTTCATGAAATGAACTAATATTTTCTAACTAGAACTAACTAGACCAAAAGTAATTTGAAATATTGCATTACAAATCTCTTTATTTGATGCTGAATATATTGTAAATGGATGAGTTAGAACAGTTGAAGAAATCATATTCATCAAGATTGTTTCAAAGCTTGATATTTGTTTGTTTATTAAGGAGATGCCTTTTATTATGACAACTATAATTCATGTAAAAGTTATCTATCATCTAATATTGCCATTTCAAGCATTGCCATGCAATGTGACATAACATTTAATTAAAAAAATGCAATTTTAAAAATTCAAAGTCTTGTATAATTATTGTTTATGAAGTTCTTATGGTCTCATATTATTAATATAAAGACTACAAGAAATAGTTGAACTTTAAAAAAAAGCCATTCACACCTCAGGAATAGAAAGGTAAGCAGTTATGGAAGTTCTATGTATTTTATATGTAGCAATCACTATCAATGAACACACTCCTGTAGGTGAGAGGTGACTGCTAAATTGGCCAAACTCAACATGAACAAAAATTACTCTCTGCACCTCTAAAAAATATATACTTCATCTTCCTTTGCAAATATTGAAGTTGTAAAAGTTTCACATTTTAATGCTGTGTGAAAAACAACTACTGAAATCTGCTTATCATGAACTAAAGTTAAAACGCACTCCAGCTCAGTAAACAGGAAACCACTGACTCTTGGTAAACACAAACAAACTATTAGAGCGACAGACCCTCAACGCTGTGCTCCGCTCCACACTGAGCTGCTGTAGCTCCTGGATGGGCTGCAGGAGCTCTTGAGCCCGATGGAAAGCTGTGAGAGTTTGCTCTGCCCCAGCAGGAAGCCCTAGGCCTGGCCTGCAGCTCTCAATCTCATCAATGGTCCTCTTCATGGACTGGACATTATCCAGAATGACCTGTTACAGAGGATAGGAGAGAGAGGTACTGTAAATGTTTACAGTACAAACAGAGGATTAGTGAGACATGATGTACAGTACCTGTATGTTCTCGAGATGTTCCTCAGGAAAAATGTTCTCTGTGTCGGTGTCTGAAAGGATTGTTCTGATCTTAGCTATATTTTTCTCCATTGTCTTTACCTCTGCTTCAATGGCATCCATCTCCTAAACAAAAGTTGTAAGTGAATTCCAATTAAAATATAGGCAACATAATTAAGATATTTCATCCCAGTATCATAAACTAATAAGTAACTCCAGTAATGGAATCTCATAAAACCCTACAAATTAAGTATATACCGTTAGGGATGACAAAAGGTCCAATACTTTTTTTTGTGTTATGACGCCAGTTTTTCTAGCATCCCAAATTGCCAATATTTGTGATGTATTAATACAAACAAAGTCAGTTACAAATCAAAGTTGCAGTAAGACTTTTTTTTTTTTTTTGGAAGAAAATACTTTTATTCAGCAAGGATGCATTGAATTGATCAAAAGTGAAGATTAAAAAACATTTCAGATTTCAGTTCAGTTTCAGAAAGATACCCATTTTTCTGAACTCATAAAAGAAACCTAAAATTATTAAGTAGAACAACTGTTTTCAACACTGATAATAATAATTTCTTGATCATGAAATCAGCATATTAGAAATGACAATGATTTCTGAAGGATCGTGTGACACTGAAGACTGGAATAATGACTGCTAAAAATTCAGCTTTACATCACAAGAATAAATTAGATTTTTAAATTTAAATATTATTTTATTATTTCACAAAAATAATATATAATAATGTAATAAAATTTAATTTCACAATAACACTGTTTTTACTATATTTTTGATCAAATAAATGCAGCCTTGGTGAGTATATTATATTCTTTCACAAATATAAAAAAATTCTTACCGACCCCCAACTTTTGAACAGTATTGCACATTTTATGTAAATATAAACAGAAAAAATATATATATTTGTTGAAATACCAGATATTTTTCAAAAACTTGATTTTTGAAAGTCTTTTTGAACATTTGGTTTTACTAAAACTTATCTGAAAAAGTCAGATATCCTTTACTTAATTCATATTTATTAATTAGCGTAATTAATTACGTTCACAAAAATGTTTTCCTAACTGAGAAATACTTGAAGGCTATGCACTACTGTTTTAATTTAATGTCTTAATATTTATGTTAATATATTTTCTATAAAACCACTGTGTTCAACAGAAACTGGTATCAGGAATCACGAAATTTCACGAACCGATACAACTAAAAACTCGGTATTGGGACAAGCTTTGACACTGCAAATCCTTAGACAATAGAGAACATAACATTAAAAACTATTTCTTAAACATTTTTTGAATGTAATGATATTTCGTACAGCTGCTAGGTGCTGAAGGTGGGAGAGAGGGTCCAGAACGCTTTGCTGCATGAGTGTGATGTTTTGTACACACAGTTGGAGTAGATGTTGTTGAGGGGTGGTGTCACACACTGAAGTGATCTCCTGCAGAGCAGGCAGGAAGGCCTCCAGAGCTGCCCTGTATCCCTCCGATTCATCCAGCATCATCTACAGACACATCAAAAGAGCTGGTAACAAGTTACTGCATAAAGGCAAAATGTCTATAAATTGAGGTTTTGACCTGACCTCGAAGGAGTTGGCATGACAGTGGATGCATTTCGCAGTGGTGTAGGTTCTGGGTGCGACCAGCCAGGACTGAGCCTCTCTCAACCAGCAGTTGGAGCTATTGAGTAAACCCTCATAGTCCTGCAGACAGGCAGGGATCTGAAGGGACCAAGACACAAAGACGTAATCAGTCAAAGTTTGCTATCAGTGGCATTATGTGTTGGCTTATGTCGTGAAATCATCTGACTTTGCTGATGAGGGCGGTCCTTTGCTCGGCCTGTTTGGCTGTGGTCTGGTAGAGCTGCAGAGGCTCCGTGAGCTGGTCCATGAGAATGTGTGCTCTCTCAGGCTTCTGCTCAGCCAGATCCTGCACCTCAGCCTCCAGCTCAGCTATCCGAGTGTGCCACTGGTCCAGCTTATCCCATATGCGCTGCACACACAGGCACAGACGCACATCAGACCTCAGTTACTGCTGACATCAAATTTCATTGGACACAAACTAAAAATATGAGAGCTGGAAGAACAGTTGTATGTTCACGTTTATTCTTATTTTTTAAATATTTTTTTCTTAATAATTTTTTGTATATTTTAAAAATGTAAAGAATTTTAAGAATTTTTGACACTTTACAGAAGTTTTGTTCACAAGTGTTCATAAGATAACTCCAACAGTCGTTTTTTGACAAAATCAGATAACTCTACATTTCATGTTTTAGAGTTTAAAGAGTTTAAAGATCTGTTCTCCTCAGATGACAATGTAGATGCCTGACAAACGTTGTTGTTGTGATCATAAACTGTACGGATGTGATTACACGCAATACACGGAGCTTTTCCCTCACCATTGTAACGCGCTGCTTTTGCAAGGTTCCGTGAAAAGTTTCAGCTTTTATTTTCCTTTTTAGCCCTGAAGAAGATATCACAGGTTCATCAAGTTCATCAAAATTATCCATCCTCGATCACTTTTAGTCAGCTTTGATGAAACTCCTCTCAGCTAGCACGTCTTTTCAAAGTGAAAGTAGCCTTGTCCCCTGACCTGAATACAGCGTGCTGATTCGCTAAAATGGACTTATCGGCTTCTGTTCAAAAACAACAAGGGCGCTTGTCGGCTTCTGCAGTAAAACGTGAACTCATGATGCCTTGAAAGTGGACAAATCCGACTTTTTTGACAAAACGTGTTTAGGGTTCAGATCTCAGAAAATTCAAGTGGAAAATAATGCACGGCAATCAGCTCATCTTTTTTTTAAAGTGGCGTTTATCGGTTTTTGCAAATGAACTCTTCATATATATATATATATATATATAATTATCTGAAACGTGCTGAGATTTCCAAAGCAACTTATATAATGCAATTAGCATCAACTATGTAAAACGTGCAAACCGCACACATTTGGATTCCTGTTGAATGAGAGAAGTATGTCAGCCCAGGTTTGAGGCTGGAATATACCACAAGACTTTTAAAATCTGAAAAGATTCTTTTTTTTTACAGCACATTTCTCACACACCAGTAGTTTCAGTTTCACTTTATATTAATTAGTTTTGCCATTTATAATAAACGTTGTTTACAATAAAAATGGCACCATAATTAGTTTGTTTTATACTTATATTTTTACAATTATATAGTAAGAATACAATAAAAGAATGTTTAAGTAATATGCAAAACTAAGTAAGGAGAGAGAAAAGAAAAACTAAGCAACTGATAGAAAGATATTTTCAATAATGTGCATGTGAAGGCAAGCAAGAAAGAAGTACCTTTTGTGTACGTTCAGCCTCAGAAAAATTAGGACTTGTTTGCTTCAGCAGGGTCTGCACACAATTCAAGCCCACCGTCACCTCTCCAACCAGCTCACCCATTTTGCAGAGAGGACCACTTTTCTCCATGACCATGACCAACTGAAAAAAAAGAGATACAATTGTATTAGCTTTAATTTAAATTAACACACAACACAAATTCACTGAAACTATAGGTGCCATATTAAATATATATTTTCTAAAAAGACACTAAAAACAAATGTTATTTTACATGTTCAAGGCATTTATTATAAAGTATTTATTATAAAAATAAATTAAGTGAATACTTTGTCTTTGGCCTCCTGCATGGAGACGTTGAGCTCATTGTGTAAGATCTGAATCTCTGTAGGTACACAGCTCCATTTCTTCTGCACTCTGTCCATGACATCCTGCAGTCGAGCCTTCTGTGAAACCAATTCCACTTTGACTTCCTACAGTGCAATACAACACAATATCAACACCAAGGACTGCAGAAACAGACAGCCTGCCTGTCAAACACAGGCACCAACCTGTAAGTGTTGAGCAGCTGACTCCGACTGTAAAGCCGTCAAAAGAGAGAGAACATTCTGCTGAATGGCATTCAGCTCCTCCTGCACACGACCCAACTCCTGTATCTCAAAAAGCACTTCCCGGCGGATGTTATTGCTCTGATCTCTGAGACTAAGCAAGAAAATGTCTGTAAATGTAGATTCTGAACATTTTCCCAACTTGTGCGTTTTTGTGCATGTGTGTACAAGTCAAACCTTCTGCAGTGACCCTGTAGAGACTGCAAGTCCTGACAGATTTGAGGACACACTTTCAGCTGCTGCAAATTTGAGACCCCAAGCAATCGTGCCACATGGTGTTGTACAGATACTAAAGTGTGATGCTCCTGCTCAATCCCATCTTGAAGGCGCTCAGTGAGGCTCAGAACACCCTGAAGATCCACCAGGGATCCCATCACCATAGACGAGTCTGGGAGATCATTCTGCAGTCTGTCAAGACCTTCCTTTGATTTATTCAGCTGCACAGCAAACCCAAACATGAGAAATTAGTTAACACACAGCTTGCTTAATCATTTTACGAGAAAATTTAAATTGTAACAAGCTGAAAAAAAATCTATTTTTACATACGCGTATCACAAAGTCTCTCCACTCTGTTTCTTTATGAGACATGCTGGCTTTGAGAGATTCCACTCTGCACTGCAGCACTGCCCAAGACCTCCACATTTGTCCCAGCATCAGATCCACGGGTGCTTTGCAGCGAAGACCTGGGCAGCTTTCCCTCAGTCCCTCCAGCTTTTTAGAGAGGTTCTTCAGCTCTGTCTGGAGCACCTGCAGATGAAGACGATTTCAGTGCATGCTAATCTAGCATACTTGCATTGTTATGAGATGAAAAGTGGCAAAAGGACCCATAAAAAACAGATTTTCAGAAGTCAAAAGGGAAGCAAAAGCAAGTTTTCACTGCTTTCCCAAATCATCTTAAGATCTCCATAGGCATTATTGCTATGCATTTAACCTGTTAATGGTAAATGACCACAAACCTTTACTTTCAGCAGTTGATCTTGGCAGGCTTCAGAATCAGCTGGTTTCTGACTTAAAAATTTTGAGATTTGAGAATCAACATTTTTGAGAAGTTGACTCAGTTCTTCATGGTGACTCATGTGCACAATTTGATCTTTCATGGACCTAAATTGGAGCAGAAAGATTGAACCGTTAAAGGCAGCTAAATAAAAGTGCCTCTAGTACATTTCATTTAACCAAATAGATGTATTCCATTCAGACTAATTGTTTCAGAGCTTGTTTTCTGATGAAAACGTTTCCAAGTACTCTACCTTATATGGCAGATATTTAAAGAGCTTTCTGAGAAAATGCTTGATTATTTGTAGAAGTATTTTTCCCCAATAATCCAAAAATGGAAAGTCCTCATTATTTACAATTATAAAATGATTTTCCAATTTGATATAAAAATGTCAACAACAATCAGAGTGCATTGTGAATGCAGGAATCTGAGTCATAGGTCAAGGTTGTTAAGTTTTTATAGAAAAAAACAATCCATAACATGCTTTATAGAGTATGACTAACCTCTGTAAGGCCTCAAGTCTGAGCTGAGCCTGAGCTTCTAATTTGGCATCTTGTACTAGAAGGTGACTCAAAACTTCGATATGAAGCTGCTCGGTTAGAGGGATGGAGAGGCATGTCTGCTGGGGAACAGAAGCACCAACTTCAGACAAGCGGGCCTGGAAACCCTCAACCAGAGTGCTGGAAATCTGTTGAACACAGCAATGCTCCTCTTTGTAGCCTTTGAAGCCATCAGAGGGGATCATGAGATTGGATCCAATCTGCTGAAAGAAGCTCTCTGCACCCTGAACAGCCCAGTGGTAATGCTTCAGTGCCTCCCGAGCTTGGAGCAGCTTGTCCTGGACAACGAAACAAATTATTTAGAAATTGGATAAACAACATTCATAGCTTTCTAAAAACTAGAGATGGGTAAAGATATAGTTTTCCAAATGATTGTGATGTTAATTTGAACAACCCCAATATTGAGTTTTAAAACTCCAAGATATGTTGCTGTTAGTATAGCACTTCCCCTGCAGAAGATATCACAGTCTGTATTACATCTAATGGAAAAAAAGGCTTTGTATTAAGTAGTTGTCAAGGGCTGCATGCAAAAACAACACAAAACATTACCAGTATAGTCCAATTCAAAAACAAATGTTGCAGGTTTATTTTAACCAAAAACATACTGTGACCAATGTTGCCCAACTGCCAAAGTGATTGACTCTTTTAAGAAGATTCTTTTAATGAATAGTTCAAAAAAAGATGAGTTACTGGTTTGAATTGGTAAAAAAACACTAGAAAAACTGAGATAAGCGAATATAACCAAATGAATCAGAATCAAATCAAAACCAAAATAAGAGCATTTGAATTCAAACAAACCAAACTGGGAAATCTATACACAGTCCTACTAAAAATACTACAAAATAACAATGCTATCACATGCATGCTTGAAAACTACAATGGTTACAAAAAGTAGCATTCTAGTGGTATTAGTGATTTTAACATACATGGACGCATGGAGCTTACCATATGCATACCACAATCATTAAGAGTTATCTGGCCGAGATCAATGGTCATCTGGTAGCTTTCAACATCTACTTCTTTCCTGTAGTGCTCCAACATTCGTAGAACAGACTCAACGCTCTGGATTAGCATCCAGTGCTTTCGTAGCTGTGTATCAATGGTCTTATTATCTGGCTCCAAGCAGATGGTCTCCTTCAGCTGCTGCCTGACACTGTTGAAGAGCTCAGTGAGTGGACTGAGGTCTGTAGGACTGCCGAGTCGCTCTGCCAGAGAGCACTCAAGGGTTTTAGCCTCATTTTTTACTGTGAGCTCCCAAGAGGCTAGCTGCTCAATGACCAAACGGATTTTGTGCCTTTCTGTTGTCAGCCGGGATGGAAAGAGATCTTTCGAAATGGCCTCAAGGTGATCAGCAGCTTCTTGACATGTCATTCTCACCAAAGGCAGCTCCACCAAGACAGTCTGACAAAAGCCGAGCCTTACATCAGCTCCTACACTTGAGTCTACAATCTGCAACAAGCTCTTCTTCACCGCCTCTCTGGAGTTCTCCATGTGCTGCCTTAAAATGAGGTACTCCTCATGCTCTTTGACTTGCAACTCCAGCAGATGTATTCTCCTCTGTAGGTCTAGTACAGCGTTGAGCATCTCTTTCCTCCGAGGATCTGGGCAGTGGGGAATTTCCCACACTTTGCAGTGGAGCTCCATCAGCATGTGCTTAACAGGTTCAAGAGCCAAGAGCGAGTCCCTTGTTACGGGATACTTCTGCCTCGTGGCATCAGCACTCATCTGTCTCAAGCTCTTCAGAATGATGTTCTGTTCCTCAGCAGAAGATTCCTGAGCATGAAGGAGTTCTTCAAGCACCCAGTGCAAGGCCCACTTACGGTTCACAACCCTAGAGACCTCTTCTTGTAAGGCTGTTAGCCTATTGATAAGCTGAAAGCTTTCGGGTACACTCAGACCGTGATTCACTTTTTTCATTTCATCTAACAGAGTCTCCAGATTATTTGCTTGTCTCTCAGCATCCTTCAAAGCCTCTGTGCATAGCTGAAGCTGAACCCTCAATTCTGGGATAGTAGTTTTAGGTTCAGAAGCCACTGTTTTACCAGACTCTTTTTCTAATACTGAGGTCAACCAAGAGCTGCTGTCAGTGATCTGTTTCCACAGTCTTTCTCTAATATGAAACATTCTGTTCATTTCTGCAACAGCACATTCGGTCTTCTCTGTAAGCTTAACGTACAAATCCTCTAGGGAATCGAGGGTGGGTGATATGGAATCCTCCTCATCGAGTCCTGTAACTTCCTCTCTTAGCTCTTTCAAAACAGAGGCCAACTGAAACCTCTTAAGAGATGTTTCAGACTGCAGTTTCTTCATGTGATTGACCTGGTGACTTGCTTCTTCAGGAAACAGAGACAACCTCCTTCTCCTACTGACTTTGTTTTCTGTTTGCTTAGCCCATGTAACGTAGTCCCTGATAATCCTCATGATCGGTGAGCATCCATTGCCATTTGAAGTCTGAGAGCTGATCTTCTCCTGAGTCAGAGCAAGCTGAGAATTCAAGCCCTGCATTGCGTCCTCCACATCTCTGAGCTCTTTTTTTCCCAGTGGACTTGAGGAAAGAGCCTGAGAGACCTCAAGAAGGTACAAGTAGCGGTCAGTTAACACTGCCAAGTCTGCAGTTCTCACAGTCTCTTGTAGCGCACTTTGACAGTCCATCTGTCCTTGAGAGGGATGCGGAAGAGAAACTGACTTCTCCAGAAGCTCCAGTTCGTATTGCAGCTCTCTGGCTTCTTGCAGGAGTGCAGCTACTTCTGCTGTGCAGATGTTAGCACACCACAGACTGCTGGAAGCAACCCGCTCCATAGTTTGCCATCTCTCCTGTAAAGTCCTAAAAGGTTCAATGCAGGCCACAGGTCCCTCTGTCTCACCCAGATGGGCTGAAATCTGAGAGCATGTCTGTAGGAGCTCCTCTAGTATGCCTCTCTTCTCCTGCATGTTCTTCAGGAATGCATTCAGCTTCTCCACTTGCAAGGTGCTGCTGTCAATGCAATCCCTTCAAAAATGTGAGAATATGGTTACTTTTCAATGTTGTACAATATCTACAAGGGATGTTCATTTCGGTTATTTTTCCTAACCGACAACCGACGCTCGTTACAAACAAGTAGCCTAGTATGCAGAGTTTCGGTTAATTTTTTGTGCTGTGCGAAAGGAAACAGACGGCAGAAAGCAGCATCCTATTTTTCTTTAAGCTTATTTTACAAAAGCACAAAATAGATGTTTTTATTGTGAATGTACACAAATAAAGGCAAACCTTTTACAATTCCGATTATCTTTAGGACTAAAATGAGTAGTTTCTTTCACTGTTAAGCCGGGCTCACACTGTGCGATTTTTTTGCGATTTTTTGCAAGAAAACCTGTCCGGAGTTTTACCTTATCAACCCATACACGTTCAGTGACTGCTAGCTGCATTGCAACATTTGGCTGTAATGTTGGCTATCATTAAAAGTATATGAATGGCGGCGATACCGGCATATTTATGCAGAATAGTGCAAGCAGCACTACACACCCACATGAAAACAGCAGCGCAACCGGTGTTTATCATAGCAAAGGCAACAAATCATATGAATTCCGTGAGCGGAGGACGAGAGCACCGGAGTTTATGCGGTTAGAAGAAATCTCTAGCATTAATTCTGATCAGAGATGTCACCTGTGCGCCAAATCTTGACACTGCCAGAAGTTCGTTGGAGGTAAAATTTGATCGCAACGGTCGCAACGGTCCTGTCGGTGAACATGTCAAACTAACGATCAAAGACTACAGATTTTAGCCTAGGATTATAGGAATCTTTTAGGATTTTCAAAATTTGTCTCAGACGACCAAATCGTGGCCAAAATCGCACAGTGTGAGCTGGGCTTTAGAAGGAAAAAATTCAAGTGATTGCGCCGGCGCCGCATGGCAACCTTGACAATGCAGCCTGTTGATTATCATAATAAAATACAGTCAGTCAAACATATGGGAAAAAACTATGTAGTAAAAAAAAAAATGTAGGCTAGTAAAAAATGTAGTAAACTCTGTTAAGCCGTTAAGGTTAAGTGTTATCACTGTACCGCCGTGATGTAAAACATTTTGTTTTATGTGGATATTGGAACGCGAGTGAAGTAGGCTACATAATAAATAATAATTTGCCATTCAAATACATCGCGAATACGGAAACATTTGATTTTGTGTGGAATGAGAGACCCAACGTTGGTTTCAGTTTCGTTTTAACCTAAATGATTTCGTTTTGGCTTGTCATTTATATTGCTATAGCTTCTTATATTTTTAATTCTTTAATTCTTTTCTAAATACTGTTAATTGAAAGGATTTGTTGTGGAGTGAGGGGAAC